GTTACTTGAATCGGTATCTTGGTGTACATCTTGGAATGAAATGCTACATGAAAACATATTTCACTGCAAACTACTTACTGTTTACTGAACAACTTCGGATGAGCCATGAACATAAGGCCACGGCAGGAAAACACAACAGTTCTTTGACATGAATAACATTTTATCAACGTAGAGTGATCGGTTATGTAACAAGGCAGTATCATTTTATACAAACACAAGTTCGCGGTGCTTACTGTCCGTACTATGCAGCAAACAAGCATCTTACAAAACTACGTACAAAGAAAACAGTTAGATAAGATGTTTACAATTCTCTACTTTAAAACTGTCCGCGACAACTACTGACATACTTCGGTGTTCCAAGCTAGGAACTGTGGGAATTCAGGTAAATCTGACGTCTAATAGTTAAAGCACTAAAATGTTGGCTGCAATAATGTCTCTCTTGTGCTTTATATTCCTAGAATCAAAACAAAACAGAAAACAGCAATGAACATCGGATCAAGAAGGTCTATGCTTCCTTATTTGAAAGAGAATGAACGACTGACCAACTGATCGACTGAATGACTGACTGACTGACTGACTGACTAACTGATTGACTGACTAACTGACTGACTTTATTTAAGTGTCAAAGACTATTTAGCTATAAAAAATCTAAATGGGGACACTATTCACACATTAAATAAATCTTAGCAACATAAAATTAAAATCATTTACAATTTAATCCTTGGAGGCCTTGATAAATAAGTAAAGAAATAAATGCAGAGTTAATGAAAAAGAAGAAAAACCCATAAGCTTGCCCACAATCTTTCAGTTCAAAAGGGAGTCCTTGGTTAATCAAATAGGTCGGTCTGATTGCAAGTGTGTAAGTATTTCTCGCGAAGCTGAGTCAAAAAATACCAACTGGGATACGGATCTGTTGCTCCTCGATCGCGTTGTCCCAGAGGAATCAGCAGACTGTCAATTAATGATGCATATGAAAACTAACACGAAGCCCACATCACTACCGATCAGGGGATTCCCCTTTTTATTCAGCACGCATAATCTACCCAGTTCAAAATGACCTTCGTAGCCAGATCGGGTGATGAGTATAAATGATTAGAAGGATTAGAAAAGTCAGGTCCTCGAGAGGGCCTCGCGATAGGGAAAAGAAAACATAACGTACGAAGCTAGAATATTGATTTGTAATTTTTCACCAAAATAAGCCAAACGTAAAAATAAATATGAAACATGCAGGAATGAACGCTACAAAAAATTTTTACCATGGTTAAAAATCTTAGCATGGTAGTTTTTAGCAGCGCGCATTTTTCACTTCTCAGTATTGACACAAACCTGTCCTGACATATACGACGGCCTCAGTGAAATTAAAAGTTTTAAAAGTCTAAATCAGACCCTGCCACAATATGTTTGATATGTGAACCACCGCTCAAACAAAGAACAATTCGACCATTTTTTGGTCGTTGGCAGCTTGACTATGACCCCAAGTTTTTTCAAGTGCGAATGCTAAACCTTGCACAATCTTAAGTTTGCTCTCGATCAAAGGTGTCTGCCGCTTCCGAGGAGGTTCGACTGCACCCTAAATTTCAAAATATACATCATAGTTCGTTTTCAAAATGAAAATGGCCTGGTCAGTACAACAATTTACGTCTTTAAGATATCGCTCTGGAATCAGGTCGACATTCTTGGACCTGGTGAAATAACATCTCGGTCATACTGAAAAGGGAAATCTCCTAATACGTGGCGTCGTCATGGAAACCATCAGTAAACAGTCTGCTCATTCCACATGCCCATATAGTGCAACAAGTGAGAAAGTCCATTTCGTGATCGAAAAGGTAAGCAGTTATTTTTGATTTTTATTTCAGTCTGGAACACATGATTCTCGAACTAAAAGCCTTGCTTGTCAATCGCTAATTTTGTGTCTGCATTAGGCGCAGGGAAGTTTATTTCATTGTTGTCACCAAATGTTAATAATTTTTCCGTAACTAGGGCTCTGATTTCTGCTCTCCTCGAATTCTTTAGACTTTTGGTAAGATCGCGGCGGATCAACTCCGGCGATATACAACCTGCTTAAAATTACTTATGCTCACTTACACGGATAATTTCTGTCTCTTTGTGGCAAAAAAATGAGCATATGAATGCCATTCACACTTCGAGAGCTGTTGCTAAGGAAACTTACATGCTCCGATGGACTCGATGTTTTTTAGATTACTGAACAAAATTCGTGATATCTATATATAGCTGTAACTTCTGCTCTCGATCTACGCGGTAAACGAGGACTAGACAGAGCTGATCATGCTGAGTATATAATTGTTTCTTGTCTGCGTAGTGCGGTCTCCAATGCTTAAGCGGTATTTGCTGATTCTTAATTGTTTCCAGAACTCTGCACATTTTTCTTCTTGGCTTTCATACCGAGCAATATTTCTTTGTCTGATGATCCATTAATACCAGGGATAACGAATTCCAGACTCGCACAGAGGCCGAGGTCATCACTATTAGAAAACCTGAGACAGAGACTAACCGATTTAATAATAATCCAAAATAGAAACACACACACACATACACATACGAGACTTCGCGACTTAAAACAAAGGATTCTAAATTATAATTTGAGATCGGATGAAAAAATTTCCTTGCCCCATGACAAGACGTTACAAAGTCCAACAAAATAGAGCATAGCCTACAAAACATGTACTGTTCAAATTCGTCGAGAAAATCAGACTTCGGTAAGCTCAGATTGGAATTTGAACTTGTTAATGTCTTTGATGTTCGGGGTCAACCCAAGTTTACTCAAGGGCAATGCCTCGCATATCCCAAAGTTTGCTCTCGATCAGACGTGGCCGACCGTTACTTGGAAGTTCCGACTTCACTCTGAACTCGTTTTCAAAATGATTGTAACAGAATTGAAGCACTTTACGCTTTTAGATATCACTCTAGAAACAGGTCATTCGCACATGGTGTAACTGAACGCGCCCACTTTATGTCTCACTGACTAAAGCATGTAAGGCATGGCTCGAACGGTAAAATGGTAGAAATAAGGAAAAAAAAATTATTACAGTACATACCAAAAATCAGTGAATAGCCACCAAACCTGGTCCAAACAGACCTCTCAACCTCAAAACACCGAAAATCTGGAGACTGATGTAAAAAAAATCTGGAGATTTCAGGAAAAATTTGGCGATTGATCGACCGGCAGACAAAACCAAGTGAACACAGGTTCTAATTAAGACAAAGTGTTTGTGTAGACCTCTCAAGTCTCACAATTTTGTCGTGAGACTCACGGTTCTAAGTTCAATCTCACGGTCTCACGACGAGACAGACAAATCTCACGATAAATAGAGGCGCAAGATGAAAGAATATATTTTTTTTGTATTTTTTTTTCCATTTTTTTTTCCATTTTTGGCTTGCTTAGGTGAGTTTCCTTGCGCCAATTCTGTACAAATCCATAGTTAAACCTGTTCAGTTCTTCATCCGTCTGTTCGCTGGAAACACAGTCCATGACCATACATAGAACACGTGTTCCAAATTAGGTCATAATTACCAGTCTCTCGCATTTTGAGTTTTGTTGTTAAAAGGTCCATACATATTGAAGAGGTCATAGACAGGCCAACACAGACTCCCCTATATGGTTTTGCGGTAGCGGCATGTAAACCTTTAAAGTTTTGCTCTGACGAGCATGTCTTTGAGCGATTTACCTTTTTTGTATGATATGATTAGAGGTGTTTTGTAAATTACTTTCAGCAGTGGCTGATTTTGGATGAAACTCCATTTTTGCACCAGTATTTGTTTTAAGTTTTTTACCCCTGGATGGTATGTCGTCACAAAAGGCATAATTTTGCCTTTGGTCTGTTTGGTTTGTTTTTTGAAAACCGACTGCCGTTCGGCAAAGGAGACCGCTGACATCGTTCTTTCAATTAGGCTTTTTGGATAACCACGTGCTTCAAGTCGTGTTTTGAAGCAGTTACACATGGCTTCCAGGAAATTTTTTTCCGAGGAGTTTGTTCTGAGAAGTCTGATTGCTTCTCCTTTAATAAAGCCTCTCTTAACACCTGGTGGGTGGAAGGAATAGTGTGTATATTGAAAGGTCTCGGTCGGCTTGTAGTGAGTTTTGACGTCGAGGATAGCATCATTTTGGAATCGTTCACCTTTGTACACTTCCGTGTCTAAGAATGTGATTTCTTTCTCCGAGATTTCAACTGTAAACTTTATAGTGGGATGGAATGTGTTAGCTTGTTCTATGAATAGACCAATGTCTTGTTTACTGGCATCCTATAGAGAGAAAACGTCGTCTATGTAACTTTTCCATACTCCCGGTTTGATTCTGCTTTGATTAAGCTTTGTTGTCATTGTTTCGATTTCTGCTATGAAGAGATTGGCGAAAGCATCCGCCATTTTCGTTCCCACGGCCGTTCCGTGACTGACTTGGAGATAGTTTTCTCCGTTGAACTGGAACAAATTTTCTTTTAGTACAAGGCTGAGTATTTGTTTCAGGTAGTTGGACGGAATGGGAGGGCTGTTATTGTGGTATTTTTCGTATGCTTGGCATACTATTGTGATACCCTCATCTTGTGGAACGTTTGTATACGAGCTTGTTACATCCATTGATACTAAAAAAGTATTCTGTGACACTTGAGTTTTCTTTATAAAGTTGATGAAATCAGTCGTATCTTAAAGATACGTTTTTGAGCAATAGGCTGTAATAAATGGTCCACAAAGGATGATATTCTGTCAGTCGGTCCTTCGCAGCCCGATATAACAGGTCTGCCGATTGGCAAAGGCTTGTGGATTTTCGTCAAAGTGTGGAAAATCGGTATCCTCGGCCGGTTAGGAGTTTGTGAAAGCCACTTTTTTGTGATGTCGTCCATATGTTTCCCAACGTGTAGTTTAGCAATAAGTTCATTGACCTTTCGTAATGTTTCAGTGACCATGGGGTTTTCAAGAGGTCGGTAGTGGTCTCTGTTGTCGAGCTGAACCTGGGCCTCTTGAATTTTGTCCCGCTTGTTGAGAATCACTGTTGTGCTACCTTTATCAGCACGTTTAAGGTTAATGGCAGTATTCTTTTGCAGTTATTTGACCGCTTTGTTTTCGTTGTGTGACAAGTTGTGTTTTGGCTTTGCTATTTCTATTTGAGCAATGCTTAATTTGACATTTTTCAAGTAGCTTTCAAGGGCAATAGAAGGTTGTACTTGTGGTATCCAGTTTGATCTGACATTGAAAGGATGTGGTTCCTTGTCATTCCCGTGGAATATATATTATAAGCAGGAAAAAAACACTTTCTCTTAATTAGAACCTGTGTTTACTTGGTTTTGTCTGCCGGTCGATCAATCTCCAGAGTTTTACTGAAATCTCCAGATTTTTTTTACATCAGTCTCCAGATTTTCAGTGTTTTGAAGTTGAGAGGTCTGCTGCCTGAATTTTCAAGACTTTGTGTTGTGAGTATCTTAAATGATAAGTCAGCTTCGG